ATTCAGAAAGACAAGATAACTTTGTTTATATAGCACTATGAACACATTTAATACAAAAATTATATTATGGTGGCCACCGGAGGTTCCAGGAAAACTACGAATCTTACTTACATATTCATTCGTAGTACTTTCATAAGAATTACATATTAAAACTTATAACCTATATCTAACACTACATGATTGCCTCGATGTTAGGATAGCCATAACTGTGAGCATTAGTACAATTTTCATCTGGAGTATGTACCTTAAAGTTATAAAAAAAAAATATCAAGATAAGACATAAATTGGTTGAAGCATAAAAACACTTGTCTTACTATGTAAGTAAGGTGACCTAATTATTTTATCAGTAACACGAAGATATATAATGATTTCTAAGATAATGAGGAGTAAAAATTTTAATTACATCTTCGAATCAGTCTTAATGAACATAATAAAATTGGAATGTAGCTGAGTCAAGTTTAATTCTACGTGAGAATGTTTGTGTAGGTCCTATAATTAAATTAAATATCTAATCTAATTCATTTTAGCGTATCATAATAATCCAATGAAGCCTTTAATGTTTTAGCTTTTATTTTCAGTGAGTGGCTGGACGTGGTGAAATTCTCATGTCATGTTAAGTGATTGAAACATGTGATTTAGTTTGGTAACACGAGATAAAAAATGTATATTGAAATAAAGTTATAAGTATAGCTTATAGATGTGACGATTTTTTATATAGAATATATCGTAAGTAATTTATTATAAATTTTTAAGAAATTTATAAATTTGTTTACATATATTTATTTATTTTTTACATTTACATTCAGACTATAAAAAGAATATTATTTTTATTTTTTTACGTTTTATTGTTCAAGCAGAACATATATTATTATAATCAATTTTTTTGATTTCATTCAAATAATAAAAATGTACTTAATTTTATAGGAAACCAAATAACTATACATCGCGTGTGAAACGTCTATAACTCAAAACGTAATGAGTTCAGGCAATCAACAGAAGTACTATTTTGGTTTACAGTTATTTGTTAGCATGCTTTTATTTAACAATCAATAAAGAATCTTCTTTACGTAAAATTACGTAACTGAAACGTAAATTACGTTTAGTGTTTTGTTCTTCTTCCTGGCAATTTCCCAGCTTTAGCCAGGGTCTGCTTTACATGTTGTGAATAGTTTTGGCAAATTTTTATTACGACCGTCCGCCTGCCTGACATCAACCCTCTTTGGGAATGCATTAATTATTATTATTATTTTTTTTTGTACCCTATGGACTATGTGTTCGAAATAAAGATTTATTATTATTATTATTTGTATTATTATTAATCAGTGATGTCTAAATACTCTTAGAAAGTACATATGACTCGGAAAAATCACATATGTACTTACCAGGATCGAACCCGCGTCCTCTTGAATTAGAGGCGGGCCTTTTAACCACTGGGCCACCACTGACTTGACGTTTAGTATTTTGTTCGATTTTTTTTATTAACAAATGTCACATTTTCTGCTATAAACTTTAATAACTTTCATCACATAGAATTTTATGGTAAGGTAGTATTATTTTACAGGAATATGATTATTTCGTTCAATGTTTAAATTGCAAACGTAACATTGATTTTCAATTTTGAAATAAATTTGATAATTTTTGGTACAGACACTTATTTTTAGTTTTTAGGGAACAATTTTAAATCATAAATACTTACTAAAACTTAAAAAACATCAGGAAATAGTTTGCTATTCCTAGATGTTTAAAACATTTTTTAAACTTCTTACTAAAAAGAACTGAAATTTGTTTGTTTGTTACCTCTAGATGTATAAAGCAAATTTTTACAGAAAACATAACGTATATTATCAAGAAAATTCCAAAATTATTCAGGATTGTACTCGCTTACTTAATCAAGCGATTAATAATTTAGTGAGTTATAAATCATTTATGACAGCAATCATAAATGATTTAACTTTTAATAAATGAGAGAGATTTCTTATCATGAATCCCCATTAGCAACTTTACGTATACACATCCGATCTGATTAATTACAGTACCCTCACTATACCCTACCGTAATTAATTTAGGCCATTATAAATTCCCTATCCAATTGTACACGAAATTCCACCGATGTAATTCTTCCTGCTAAAATATCAGTTCGCTTTGTGTATTTGTAGTGAAATCCAAAATGTTGTGGTACGCTTACAACTAAAATTTAGTGTGATTTATTTGACTTCAAAGATGAAAAACGTGTATACATAACAAGCTATAGACAGACGTACGCGAGTATAAAACATATATAAAAAGAATTGTAGTTTCTTTGGCACAACGTCAAAGTATATATTACTGCAGAATCCTGTCATTCCAATTCTGCATTTCAGAATTATTCCCCTTTTCCTGGCACCTTTCCACCTTGGATTTAAATTACGACATTTTTACCAAATATATGACCGGACTTTTTGGACTGAAAATCATCATTTTGGATTTTGTTTGATTTGTAAATTTATTACAGTGAAACATTTAAAAAGTTTTTATCTTTCCTTTGTTTATGAATAAAATTATTGAACCATTATTAACAAATTTAATCATATAATTTAATAAGTCGGTAAAGTTGTGTTATTATTTAAAATTTAGATTTATATTAGGAAAAAATATTTTATATTTAACTAAGGTTTGAATAAAATTCAAACCTTATACCTTACCTATACAATTTCCATACCACTGACTAAAATCGCAAACGTTGCTATTGTCATTGAATTTCATCTAAATTACTTTATGTAAAAAAGACCTAGATAATTTTCCTTACTTAATAGTTATAACCAAAAAAAATTTATTCCTTTTGAGGTATTGATGCTTGCCTGTGTATTTCCACTACACAATCTACTTCACTGTCATGCTTCATCAAGTTTTGTTTAGCCTTTCCAGCGTCATCTGGCAACATTAATATTTGACCAATTAATTATTAGTCATCCAATTATCTATCTGTGAATGCACTTAATCATTATAGAAATCTGAATATATAATCATCTGGCTCTAAATAGAGCATACATTAATTAACTAATAGGTTTATTTGAACTAAGACCTTCAGTTTATATATAGAGAGACATTTCTGTGAAGCACATTGTTTTAAAGAAAAAATGCAGCATACTTTTAAAAATTTAGTTTTAATCTTATACAAGCAATATTGTGATATATTATTTATACTATAAATGATTGTAAGAACGATATATTTATGTAAAATATACTATTTTTCCACTACGTTTATTATCTGGTAGTAGCTTTTAGACTAATAATGTAGTCTTGAATTGTGTTTTAAATTGTAGCTCCCAAGAGAATACTTGTAGTCTGAGATGTTCTATAACGTCTCCCGAATGCAATAAAAAGGACAATAAAGATGTTTTAACAGACTTTTAATGTTCTATTCAAGGTCCTAGTTGAAGTTGCTTTTGTTATATCTTAATTATAGTTTTGTTTTATGTGTCTAGTGCAGTCGAGCGGTTTTCCTTTTCTTATTAAACTAGTTATTTTAATGGATTTAAAAGTAACTAGTGCTATAAATGAGATATTAGTTCTCGCTTAAGGTTTTGGGACCAAAATCCTTTGGTAGTTATATATATTTTTTAAGTAAGTTCTATTTTATAGTTTTCGTCTATCGAAACAAAATTTACTTCTGTAATTATCGAGCAAAATAATCGTAACTTATTGTAAAATATTTATACATTTTATATTATATGATTGTCATTATAGTACCAGTATTTAAACGCTACTTCATCTGCGTAAAATTAGAAAATGAAACCCGAGACAAATGTATATAGTGTATTAAAATAATGAATATGCTTAAAATCCTCAGCAACATCAATACTTTGTGTCACATGACTTGATGCAACACGAAATAAGGGGTAAATTATGGAATACGCGTAATATGTGTAAACTGTAGTTTCTTCAAAATCCGCTGAATAAATGTTACGTGAAAACGCAATAGGAAGCCTTCTATCCTTGTGATTTTTTGCATATATAATATAAGTAGGGTAAAGAATATTTTTTATGTAAAAAAATTAATAACAACGACTAATATATAGGGTTTTTATGACTTAAATGATATTTGACTAGTACTATAAAATACGTTCCGATAGAATAAAATATACCTATTACTATAAGTTTTAGTTCGAAATTTTCAACATTAATATCTATAAAGCTTCTCCCATTTAATTATTTATATTTTAATTAAATTGATAAAGAACCAAGGTGAAGCAAAAATAAGTGTCTAAAATACTCCAAACTTTTGTTCCATATCTAGTACTTGGCCTAATTAATACAAAAGAGTAATGTTGGTGCCAAAATATTCAGTTTTTGATATCCATTTTGCTTTGAAAACATCTTGACAGGCCTTTTTAGGGGTTCATTTACGGAAATGAGTCTTTTGTCGAACGAATACAAAGTACTCCGCTGTTTGAGTCAGCTTAAAGAATAATTTTTATGTAAAATTACTTTATGAATGTCAATAAAATTATCAGGTTTAATGGATTAAGTGAAGCGTTAACAGCCAATTAGATAAAGCTTATGAAAGAATATAAATATTTTTTGAACAAAGTAATTAAATAAAAAATAACTCTCGTATATATTTTATTTCATTTTATAGTTTATATTTAAAATAAATTAATTCAATTTCCTTGTCGGCAATTTTAAATTTATCGTATTTTCAGTGACATTCACTGTGCTATTTCGGAATTTCAATCATAAAATATCTGAATACAATGTTTGATGAAATCAACTAACTGTATATAATGAATTGTAATTCAATAACATTCTGAGCTATATGTATTATACAAATATATTTACGAATTCAGTATCATTGCAGTTAAAATGGTCTAAACTGAAATAAAATTTATCACTAATTAACTTATAAGAGTTTTTTATATTGTTTTTCATGTCTTATGAAGTATGTTATGAAAAATAAATTAAAGTTACAAATATACCAACAGGTTTAATAGAAACGGAATAATATTTCTATAATTTTCCAGAGGAGAAACAAAAAGAGACAGCGCAGGAGAGTAAGTCCGAAGAAGAAGCGGCGACGAAGATACAAGCGGCTTTCCGAGGTCACAAGACCAGAAAGTCAATCAGTATGAAGGCTGCAAACAAGAATGATCCCGAGCCGGAGCCTACAAAGGCTGAATTGGAAGCTGAGTTCCGAGCTGATGATAAAGGTAAGGTTCTTAGAAGTTTTAGGTGGTATAACCTAGCTGTGGTCAAGTTACTGCAGCTCGAACATGGGCTGGCTCGACCGGGGAAGTACCACCCTCTCACAGAAGATCGGTGTGATATATATATACGTGGTGGCTGCGTTTCTTTCGATGAGTGAGAGAAGCGATTGTCATTTCCCTTTTCTTCCAAAATCAAGGTCGGTAAGGCATCCGCAACATCTCTTATGATGCAAATGTCCATGAGCGGCGGTCACTACTGCCCATCAAGTAGGTCTTCTGCTCGTTTGTCGTCTTTCTTATAAACAACACACACATTTAAGCCCGCACACACACGTACTCAAATACACACGTAAACTTTAAGAGCCGTACCTGAAATAAATAAGTATACCATTCCTTAGGTTATATATCACAACATCGTCCTCACAAATCTCTCCCTGTTATTTACACATCGAACGTAAATATGTCATAAAACATTGGCTCAGGGATTCAAAATCTCTTAAATAAAATTCTAAGAGCACTGATATCCTCACGTCTGATTCTGATTTGTTACAGCCTACGGATTCGTTGCAATTTAAATTGCAAATCCGAAGACTTTCAAAGGATAGCTCCGGTTACATTTCTTTTACGTTCTAAAAATGTTCTTATTTAAAATGTATTCATTCGCGTCTTGAAATTTTGACGTCCCAGTCGTGGCATTAGGGGAATTTGAAATAAAATTTTGCTGGAAACTCTCCTTGTAATTCTCGTGATAATAATGTTGTTTCTGCTTTAAGTAGCATAATAAATGTGTACATTACGTCTTAGTTCTTAAGGCATAACTGTCTTTAAGAACTATTTCAAATAACACACGCTGTATGCATATAATTTTGAGTAAATTAGATGCTAGTTCTTTCATATCTTAAAATATGCTTGTACATAATGTATCCAACCCTTATCTTTAGGTATATTTTTGTTCAATACTATAAGTTAATTGAAATAATTGAATATTTTATCTAGAGTATTTCTTCTATTAATAATGACCTCTGTTATTTGTATTTCGTAATAAATATAATTCACTTAGCATTCTTTATTCATTCTGTTTACATATTAACTGAGTCTAAGAGCCGACCATTTTGAATATTTAAAGGTTGTCGACGGAGGAAATGTGAATTTATTTTAGTTTTGTATATAACCAACTGTTTGCTACATTTCTGTTTGTTGACTTATGTCTAAATTATGCAATATATGCATTTGGATTTAGTTATCGTGGAAATAGTTGCTACATTCGCCATTACTCAACTTCTCGAGAGATTTGTGAGTAAAAACTAATTTGTATTGTTTTAACTACATAACTAAGTCCATTAAATTTGTTTTAGTAAAGTAGTTTTTGAGTTATTGAGTAACAAACAAACAAATCTCCAAACTTTCCATTTTGTAATACTGAGTAATATTAGTGGGTAGATGGAAAAAGAAGAAAATATATGTAGTTGTAGGATTAAAGTTCACGCGTTGTTTCTTTTGCTAATATTTTATCAGTTCTATGTTTGCTTAATCAGACTTCAGCTGTTTGTAAATAAAAGAAATCAATATTTATCAGGCGTTTCGGAGTTAGGGCGAAATGAAAAAGATTTACGACAAACGAATAAATGATTTTTTTTAACAAACAACTTGAAAAAATGGAAACAATTTTTTGATAAAATAATTTTTATGAAATGTAACAACGAATGCGAAGTTTTAAATTCAAAAAAACTAATCTAAAAGTATCAATGAAAATGAATGATTTTATATTTGAAAGATAAAATATGATGGAGGGCTTCGATTTTAATAAAACTTTCCTTATTCTTAAACTGTTCGTACGGATTCCTTATTGAAAGTTCCTAATTGAATAATAAATGTGACTAAGTTTATGTGGGATTATATTGAGTTATTGCTTAAATATTTTCCTTTCTCGTCTTATATTTATGGACTTACAGCGTAATGCAAAATAGAACGAATTATAAAAAGGAAAAAAATTTTGATGTTACATTTATACAGGAAAAAAGTGTAATGAATATTTTTAGATATTGGTTTTAATTTATAAAACAACTAGAATTTTGCCCGCGACTTCGTCCGCGTCAGTTTCGTCATTAGTAATACATGTATAGCTGACCGCGCGAACAGTATTCCGTCTTAGAGGCCATAAATAATCATGTTTTTCCTGTTTCAATCGAACAGAATGATTGACATATTAGTTAGTTGTCAAATCTAATGTCAAAGAAAACGTTTGTATGGAAAATAGAAAAGGGCTGTTTATAGGGTTCTCTAGGAAATGAATTATTTTTTCAGCTTTTAAACCTTGCCTGAACCTCCACGAACATTTCAAGACTAAGATAAGATAAATCCGTTCAGCCGTTCTCGAGTTTTAGCGAGACTAAGGAACAGCAATCCATTTTTATATATATAGAAGATTATATATATTTATATGAAAAACCAAAAAATTTCAAAATTTTTTTTAGACATTATGAAATGTAAACCTTTTTTTGATATTGGGATTTATTTACAATTATAAGGTAAAATTTCTTTGCTTTCGTAAAAATCATATTAAAAGTAACATAAGATGAAAATGTCCACCAGTTAGTTTTGTTATTTGAGAATATTTGTCCACTATGACATAACATTAATTGAATCTTTGCTTTCAAACATGTAATCCGAGAAATGTCTTTATATTTTTAGCTTCTTTCACAGTAAAATTGTATTCAGATAATTTAGTCATGTGAAAGCATCGTAAAAGACGTGATATGTGAATCATATCTCAGACAAAATTCTAGTTCAGCGCAAACGGCAGTTGAGTACCTAGGGTTTAGGTTTTATATCTCTATAAAGTGAGGATAGCTTTGTACAATGTGATTCGTGAGGTTTTTGGGGTTTTCATGCTTCTGTGAATCCAGATTATTAACTTGGTTTGTATGAAATATGAAGACTAAATTATAAAGTTGAATGATCCGTAACAGATCGTGTGAAATCTTCTTAAATATATATAAATATATTACTTCCTAATTATAGATGAAGATAAAAATACTGCTTATATAATAGTACATTTTGAATTATATGCCCTTTTGTAAATCGGATTTAACAATTACCTTGTGAGTCAACTGAGAACTATTTTTTGACGACAATTAACTGGACATACTGCTGATTAATAACTTAAATGAAGACAATATCCTCTTGACATTGCTAAACCAAAAAAACTTATAAAATATTATGGAAAAAAATATAACGTATTGGCTTGTTTATCTAATATAATATCTGTTTTAAAATTAATGAAATGTAAAATTTTCCCGAGTATATATATTTTAAATTCTATAAACAACTTCATAGGTACCTACTAGTCAAGATGAAAGTACGAGTGTAAGAAATTTTCATTTCGTCTGCCCGTGATCACGGTTGCTGCAAAGTAACCAAAACGTAGAGAGTATGTAGTTTTTAAAATAATGATATATGCGTAGTCATCCGAACAATATTGGTTTCATTTAAATGAATACCCACGAAAGTCTTAGATCTCTACCTGGCAATTTCCCAGCTATAGTCAGGATCTGCCTTACATGTTGTGAATTGTTTTGGCTATTTGTTTTAACGACCGGCCGCCTGCCTTACATGAAACCCTGTTTTTAGGAATCAGCATTAATCAGTGATGTCTAAATACTCTTAGAAAGTACATATAACTCGGAAAAATCACATTGGTACTTGCCCGGGCCAGGATCGAACCCGCGTCCTCGGCAACGAGAGGAGGGCCCTTTAACCACTAGGCCACCACTGAGTTCGTCATAAAGTCTTAGATCTCATTATTATTATAATTTTAATATTACTGAATCCTGGTAGCATTCGGATCACGATTTCTCAAGTTAAACTTAAGACACAGTTTATAGACTGCAGTTAAGCTTCTTCCATTATGTATTGTATAAATTATACATACTTCCTAGAAGTTTTACAACTTTTTAAAGAACATAAGAGTAAACTGTATTATTTTAAACATTGAGAGTGAACAAATCCCTAAATTTTTAGTATCATCTTTTATCCAATTCTCTTTGTTTTTCCTTTCTCAACTAAATATAAATACCTTATACCAAAACTACACTTAGAAATCGAAGTAAAACTAATATTACATCTTACTAATAATAATGAACGAAACTAAACTACATTTTTGCTAATGTTTAATGTATTCATGAGGTAATTAACCAACACTTGCATGCACCATTCAGTTAAACACGTTCCAATTCTAGCTTATATACAGAAAATTAAACTCTGAAGTTAAATTTAAAGTTTATATTTGTTCCTCGATGGCGTAGTTGGAATTAAAGCCAACTAAATGACAATTGTAACAGCTAGATCTATATAATCTCTTTGTTACAGTGTGTAATTCTCTTATACACTATCGATGTTCAATTGTAATAATTTATGCGAATATCCGATTAGTACATTCATTTATATAATTAAACCTAGTTACTTGTTCCAGCTAGAATGTTAAAATACAAAACCAAAATATTCTCATTTTTTTAAGTAACAATTTATAATTAAAATACAGGTAGTTGTTAAACAAATTAAATTTGATTTAAATTTTCAATTATAGAGACTCTGTGATAATTTAAAACTGATAGTAAAATCATTTAATCTTTTTGTTACATTTATAACATTAGAAGTTTATAAAAGAAAAGATAGAAATAATATTTAAAGGAAAGTTATTAAACGAGTGAATGATAAGAGTATCACAAAAATAGATTAAAATATCAGTGGACACGTCTAAAATTTTTAACATTTCATTGTTGAAATGTTCAATAACTTATTTAATTACGATGGAGAGTGTAAAGATTAAACTTCTTATCCCAGATAAACACAAAGAAATCTTAATAAATTAAGAATAAATTTGAAATATGACAATTTATGAAAAGTTTTTTATTGTGAATTTGAAATTCAATACCTTACAGGTTAAATTAAAAATCTTTGTCTATAGATAACGGGAATTATGTCAACAGCCATATACATTTTTA